TTGATCCCTTCAGTTGGAGAGGGGGTACCTCTTAGAGTACCATCCGGGTTATGTATGATTCTTGTGTGGATTATCAGAAATGAATGTAGGTATTTCAACAACATAAGCATCTATCAGCCCTTCCCTAGTGTGAAAGACCAGAAAATAAGAGCACACAAAAAAGGGGCAAATATTTTGACTGACCTTGTAACATGAGCAAACTTTTACAGAAAAAAGGTAAGCCTGGTAGCCAAGAAAACATTTCCTAAAACGTCAAAACTTATATACATAGAGTGACATAATTTTGTCGGTTAACTTTTAAGACTAAGAGAAATTTGTTTTGTCCTTCCAAAGGTGCCTGAGGAGGTCAGAGGCGAAGATGACACTTTCACTATATACTGCCTGTTTTGCTATCCTCCTTTCCCACCTCAGCCCCACATCCCTGTTTCCTGGGGGCACAGCATTCAATACTATGGAGTCCAGATTCCCTTGGAGGCTCTGCCCTGCCAGAAGGGTGACTTTTTGAACCCAAGTTCAGGCATTTTTGAACACTGCTCAGCAAAGGTTTGCTTACAGAACGACAGGATTCTTCTATGCAAGGGGACTCTGTTCCCGGGCCTGAACAGTGTTCCAGGCTTTGTCTTCTTTTCCCTAGCTGCAGGGTAGAAAGAGGCTCCATCTGTCTGCAGCAAAGCTGTTGCTGGCTTGGGTTTAGTTAGTGGCTTTGCCACGTAGGGAGCTGTATGCCCAGTTTTGTGGAGATCAGTTGTACTTGTTGAAGCACAGACCATCTTCGGTTGCTCCCTGGGAGCTCTTATCACTGTCCTATCTGGCCTCTTCCTCCCTTTTTGTGGAAACTGCCTTTTGTGACTGGATAGGGATGTGATGTCACTGGGGGACTGTTGTTGTGGACTGGCAGGGAATCCCAGGTGGAAGTCAGTGCCAGCTGTTTTCCTCCCTTGGGGCTTAATGATTTTCTGGGAGATGCTCTCTGACATATGGAAAGTGAAGTGCTTGATGTTTGCACTTTGGTCTAGATTAGCTTTGAAAAAGGACTGGGAACTGGGAATAAGGAATAAGGAACTGGGAATAAGGAAATTGAAATAAGGAACCAACTTCAGCCTCATTCCTGTGGGAAGCTGATTCCTCACTGGGTTCGGAGCTGTGTAACCAGGGACACAGGTGCCAAGGAAAGAGTGAGGAGGGGTTGGTAAGCAAGGCTGGTAGGCTTGCTGGGGTTGAGAGAAGCAGCCAAGCCCTTAAAGATTTAATGTCCAGGCTGTGTGTGTGTCTGACTGAGACACTGGGATGAGATCTGATCTGGGAAGGCTCCAGCTACAGAATCAGAGACCTGCAAAGGGAAACCCCTGTCTGTGGGTGGATGTGCTGGGAGGGGGAGACAGCCCCGAGATGAGTGGGCGGAGAGAAAACAAACCAGCATGCATGTGTGTGGGGACACCTAATCACTAGTGTTTGCAGTAAGTGTATTTTCAGAAGGAAACTGCTTCAGAGAACAATCTGCCAATAAAGGAAACAACAGGGAGTCTATTGCCTGTCTCTGCTGTTCAGAGCCTGTCTTGCTGTGTTACCAGGAATGATTAAAGGAGACCATTTTCCCTGGAGCAGCAGAAGCATCACCTCTGTCATCTAGTGCTGGATCATAGTTATAGTTATGTGACGGGCTAGCTGGCAGTGACCTAGCCCAGGGGTTTTGAAAGGGCAAAAGATGATTGGAGGACTTGGGATTCCCTTTCC